CGACACCGTTCTCTGGAAGAAGTTATGAGTGGTTAAATATGTGAAGACAATGGGGTTTTAATGCATAAAGTGCTTTGAAATTCAACTTGAAAGTGCATGATTAGCATGATATTGAGTGTACTGATTTCAGAGGATGTTTACGTTTAACGGAAACCCAAAGAAGTATTTTTGATCAACTATTATAATTCTTGAAGTATGGCGCGATAAATTTGCCAAATTTGGAATTCTTATCGCTCATAGCTTCTACCAAACATCTCAATTTGTTTTTTAGTTATTCGAAAATACTTCTTACTGTTTCCTTTGAATGTAAGCACTCTTTGAAATTGATACACTAAATATCATGCAATTCATGCACTCAAGTTGGATTTCAAAGTACTTTATGCACTAAAATCCCATTGTCTTCACACATTCAACCACTCATAACTTTTTCCAGAAAACGGTGTCGCAGGTTAAAAGGCAGATATGGAATCAGCTCATCAAGACGCATCTAATATGCGGTATTCCAGTTCGCCAACTTAACCCTCGTAAGAATTTTATACGGAGGCTTGCAGGCACTTTAACATCGGGAGCTATAAGCTTATCAACTATGGTAAAGGCTAAAGCTAGACGAAGAATGTCCACATTGAGAAGTGCGAGGTTTGATTATGCAGGCCCCGCATATACTTTACGCGACAGTCGTAGCGATTTGCCAGTTGCAAGGCTAGCTACGGGGTAGGAGTTGGTACAGAGGGTAAGGAAAAGTGCTGATTATGGATACAACTTTATTTTGTCGATTTTATCAAGTTTTTGAAATTTTTGAGCTACGAGGCTGGGAGTTTGATACAGGGGGGGGGAGGGGGGAGTAAATGAGGGTGCTGATTATGAGTTAACATTTACTTTGATGTCATCGATGTTTGGAAATCTTGAGCTACGAGGCTGGGAATTGGTAGAGGGGAAATGCTCAGTTAATCGCCGGCGGCAGGCTGCCATGCGATTTTTGGGCAAGCCGGCACCGAAAAAATAGTTCGATGATTTCTTGCGATCCGCTTGCAGAAATTTGGAGAAATGTTGCCCGATTGTCTGACGAATGCTTGAAGAACTATCGCGGTTTTTCTGTAGATTGATTGCGGCGCAGTGGCCGCCTTCTCACGGAATTAAAGCAAAATTAATTTTCCTTTGCGAAGGACCGCACAGCCCGTAAGTACCGTTGGAAAAAGTACCCCAAACTCAGGTAATCAAATCGGCGATGACACCTCTGCCACATAGAGTGTGACCTTTGCGCGGCGTACGCCCTTGACTGCGTAAAAAGAGTCTGAGCGCCTGTTGAAAGTTAGGTCAGCGTTCGCTGAAAGAGTGCAGAAAACTCTGTATCGCTCCCCGCTGGCAGAACACGGAAGTTCCGCTCACTGAAGGCTTGGCCCGCCCCAAAATTCTGATGACCGTTAGACGCGAGTTTGCGGACCGCCTGCACTCGGCGACTATCTGAGTGGGGTGCTGATTAAAAATAAAATCATTTTATCATTTTCACCGATTTTTGGAGAATTTTGAGCTAGGAATTGGTATAGGGATGTGAGGGTGCTGATTATGAATGGATCGGCTTTAGCCGGATATGTCATCAGGTTTGTGATGATTGCTCTGATTATTCGAATATTTATTCGTAATTTGACTCTCAATGTTCGAATATAATCGATATTCATGCATTCGATATTTTTGATTTTCCGATTTTATTCGCGATGCATTCATTCGAGAATTTTGGAATCTCGCATTTATTCAATATTCGAAATTCTTATTTTATTCGAATTCGAATTTATTATTCGAAGTTTATTCGATATTTTTCAGTTTTGAATTTGATCGATATTCATTTATCCACTGAAAACTTTCGAATTCAAGTATAATAGCTACCCTTTCCTTCATGTAATCGCTCTATAACTTCTACTACTCTGACTCTAGATAAGGCGATACATCGCTTGTTTCTATCTCTGACAGGAAGATGTGGAGGTTTTATTCAATCTCTCATCCGTTACTGACTATCTGTGCGAACTTAATGATGCGGTGGATTCAAGACCTCTGTAGAAGACGAGACTGCCGAAAAGTCAGGTCCAATAAAGATCCACGAAACCTGGTTTGGCGTAACACGGCGTATAGCATCTTTCATTTCTTCTCTTTCTATCCGCTCCTCCACTATCACTTTTCCATAATTATCCTTCGTTTTACCATCACTTAACACAAGCTCATCGAATCTACATTTCTCTTGACAATATATCCTTCGGCAATGTCTATCGCCAGAGCTTTAGTGCTTTTTGATGTTTTTCTGAAAATCTAGCTAGCTAAACTAAATGATAAAAAATTCTTTTTAATTTTGCTTCCTTTGAATCGACATTCTGTCTTTTATTTATAACCCTGTTTTGTAGCACGCCTTAGAGCGTATAGAATATATTAGGTTGAACCGAAAGTTCTGTCCCTCCATTTTCAAAAATTCGTAACTTCGCCAGATTTCAACGGATTTGCTTGCTCGTAATTTTATTAGAAAGAATAGATCTTCCGCTTTCAAGCCCTGTTTTGCGGAGCTTCTGTTTCACACTGAGTGCCGAGATAAAAATGGAAAACTAAGACCATGTAAACTTTGACCATTTTAAGTTAGGTCACCAAAAATCTGGAATGCTGCAGAAAAATCTGAAATCGTCAGTGCATATGTTTTTTGGCCTACCCTTTGCATCTGTGAAAAGTTTGTGTTGTTTGGACATCTCTGTGAGAAGTTATGAATATCGAGTTTACTATGGATAACGCCAAAATTAATTAATTTGGCAATTTTCGTGAAAATCATAACTTCTCGCAGAAACGTCCAAACAGCGCAAACTCTTCACAATTGCAAAGAGTAGGCCAAAAAACATATGTACTGACGATTTCAGATTTTTCTGCAGCATTCCAGATTTTTGGTGACCTAACTTAAAATGGTCAAACTTTACATGGTCTTAGTTTTCCATTTTTATCTCGGCACTCAGTGCGAAGCAGAAGCTACATAAAACAGCGCTTGAAAGCGGAAGATCTATTCTTTCTAATAAAATTACGAGCAAGCAAATCCGTTGAAATCTGGCGAAGTTACGAATTTTTGAAAATGGAGGGACAGAACTTTCGGTTCAACCTAATATAAATGAATAAATATTAGATTGGCGAATTTCTGTCACATTTTTTGTAAAATTCTGAAAAACTCTCAAAGCTTTCTATAATTTTCAAATTTGCCCCATATGTAGGGCACGACAGGACGTACACAACGGTACGATGGTGCCGCAAGTGTACACATAGCTAGCGAGTAGACAACTTTGTAAGCGCACTCAAAATTGACGAAATTTCTTTACTTTTTTGCATCTATTGTGTTTATCCTCTTCTATAATCTTTGAAACATATTTTTGCATTGTGTCTTCTATGGGAGCACGTTGGTACCGCTTGCATGTCAAAAATGAGAGGTGGAAAAAGATTTAATTTGAATCCGTTGAAATTTTTTACGTGCGCACCGTGTAGGATTTGATATGGAAAGATTAGAAGTGATTATTATTTTTAAAAACTGTTCTACATGTCAGCGAATGTGCGCTTACATCAGGGCTTGGCACGAATCGGTTTCTAGGGTTTCCGTAAACGAAGTCTCTCCTCCCGACTTTCGAAAGTTATAAGAAGTCCTCTTTGACCTACCTACTTAGGAAAAGATGAAAATAACAAAGATTTACTAGTCTGAAAGAAAAAACGTGTGACAAGAGTGAAAATGCAGATTGGGGCAATACTATGCATGACAAAAGTCTGGCATTGGAGCGCGACATTTAACGAAGCGATTTTTTGAAGAATTCGAGGCAAAAAACAAAAAAAGGCAGTGATATGAGAATGTTTTTATGCTCAGGGATAGATTTTTAATTGGAGAATCCGTCCACGTAGAAAAATCCAAAACTTATGTGATGTGACAAAAATATATCTGAGATCGTCTGGTGACCGTCTGGAAATTTTATAAAAAGGTATTACTTGAAATAAGTTTTCAAATCTTTTTACATAATCCTTTCGCAAATTTTTCTATACATGCAGCCGATTTTGGTGTGTTTAATTAAGCATTGCTTTTAAGTCGCGCGCACTTTTCGTCATACACGATAGAGCATGTCAACCGTGTGACAACCTGTTCAAAAAGTTGTGTTCGATCAAAAGCCGCTTCTTCTTGGTGCTCGGCCCTGACTCGTCAAAAACGAAATACTCTCTGCTTTCTGCTCCAAAAACGAAGTTCAGCCTGTTTCCAAACGATCTGTGCCGGGCCCTGGCTGTTAGCCGCACCATAGCTCATTTGAACGCGTGCAGACATGATTGTGGAAACCCTTATTCGCTGAAGAGTATGGATACACTATCAGTGTCTGCGTCGCCCGGTCTCTCCCTAATGGAAGAATGCCAGCCCGTTGTCGAAAATGTTTTTTAAACGTACTCCCATCGATAAAGTGGTGCTTTGTGCATGGACCACGAATTTGACAGTGCCGGTGGGTAAACCTTTGCAACCCGTCAACACCCTTGGACATAGAAATTTTCGAAAAGTTCCTACAAGGGAAGAGTATGTGGTCGAAGTAGTGTTTTCTATACGAAGTGTACGCTCTCTTATAGAGCATGGTGAATTCACAGGTTACACTTTTGGATGATTTTATCGCAGCCGAAAGTGTTTAAATTTTTGATTGAAAAAAAATCCCGCAATTCCTTTTCCAGAAGCGCTTTGTGACGGAAGCAGATTTGGAATCAGCATTTCATGCACTACGAACTTCATGTGGAAACTTCACTTCAACCAAGCATCCTTCCCTTCTTAGATTTTTGTGATTACAACAAAAGTGTAAAAAAAAAATTATCCGTCAAGCTGATATAAGCTACTATGCTGACAGCGAGGAGAGAAACGGAAGTGAAACAAGAAATATAGTAAACCTTTTGCGCTACTTTGAATTTAAGGGAGTAATGCATAAACATTACATTTGCGATACACTCGTAAGTTTCATAATTTATGAACTTACTTTGATTGTGCTTAAAGCTTTCCCATTTTTCAAATACTGCACAGCTTTAGCGGAGCAGGAGGCTACACAGCTTGGTAGTCCCTGCAGAATATATATCTGAATAATGCGAAAACATTCTCTGATAAGTCTGTGAATGGAAATGCTCCTTACTTTCTTGGTTCTTTTCTCTAGAAATCTCAGTAGATTCATATAGTAACCAAAAATTCTGTCTTTGTCAATTGGCTGTGTTACATTAAGCGGAGCTTTCATAAGAATTGCTCTAAAATTATCGGTCGTCTTGTGTTTGACAGACAAAAGTGGAAAATATGGAACCTGTCGATCATGAATACGACATTTGGTTTCAATTCCTCAACTATTCGCGTAAAGTTGAAAGAAACCTTGCATTTGGGACGATACATTTCACAATCTGCAAATATAGCTTCTGCGACAGTTTTCATCAAAAATCTTTGATGCTGACGTACACACTACACAAAAAATGTAGAAACGTCTCGCATACGATTTGTATACTTTGTATATGACATCGCCTTGATTGCAAGCAAAGCTGTTTCCTGCAACCAGCATATCCACCGTACCGTTCCCTTCCTATAAAAAGAAACATTTGAGTTCATTCTTAGCATTAAGATTTTTTGTGAAATTGTGTGAATTTTTTGTGAGAAGATTAATTTTGTGAAAACATGTTGCTGTTATGATACTAAAACTGTTATCAGCTAAAGCGTATGAACTATGATCATAGGTTACCTTTCCATTACTGTGCGTTTAAAGGATATTATGATTTTCAATCAGAAAGTGCGTGTGTCACGGAATCTTGCGTGGACAAAGCCAGATCGCAGATACTTGATTGAGAGGTGAGAGGTCTAGAAGTGTGGAGAATCGCTTGATCCGGATATTGGAGCGCTTCAACACTTCAAATCAGTGGCAGCTTCTCTTTATAAAAGATGAGGAGGGGGAGGAGAGCAAGCGCTGATGGTGAAAGAAAGTGATGTAGAATTTCTTGCAACGAACTCATCTCTGAGAGTTAGTAGCGAAGCCCGCGGCTGCTTCAATGCGCTGCTAACGAAGCGCTGCTAAGTATCATACGCAGGGAGTTTTCCTTCAAACTAGACTCTTTCGATCGCTTTTAAAAAGTTTTGTTTTTTCTTCAATGTGTTTGAAGCTGCTATTCCGCAGCTTAGTTTTTCTCTACAGAGGTTCGGGGTGGCATTCAACTCCTGCCAAGAGTCGAATGCTTTTGACGACTTTCGTGACTGTACGGAATCTTTATTTTTCCAGCATAACTTCACAACTTTGCAACGCATCGTTAAAGCATCTCTGATTATTGTTTAAGGCAGTGTCTGGAAAGATCAAGAGTTTAATCTCATGCGAAGGCTGAAAATTAAACCATTGCTCTCGTGCGTAAGCGGACACCATAATTCCAGAAGCAAGCCATTTGCCCTGAAAAACTGACAGTGCGATAGATTGCCTCACTAACGAGGTTTAGGGCTAGAGCCAGTACAAATATATACAGCTACTTCTCTCTTGCGGCTCCATGATTCTCTTTCTCACTTATATATTTTCAACGTTGTGAAGGCGCTCATTTTAATAACTCCCGGTTTTTTTTTCGAGCTGCTTAACGGCGATGGCCGAGATGCTCGAGTCACAACGATAAAAATCATTTCAGACTGCAATCATCATTCAAGTTCTCCATCTTCCCACGTGAAGGCAGATCTTCTTTCTCATTTACGTAATCGCATTTTTGATTGTGTAATTCTAACTACTTCAGAAATTTGATTATTGCATCAAACATGCAAGCTTTTGTCAACGAGCCTAATTGTCTTGCGTAAATTGTTCCCTTTTGAACCATTCCCAACCTTTCTCTTTTTTTAAAATTAAATGACCATAAGTGTGTGTAGAGCGCAAGACACAGAAGTACCCTCCGCGAAGATCCGCAAAGGGAGCAACCGCTTTAATTCTTCAGTGTTATTTGCTCTAATACCGGTTCAAAACTAAGGGCCAAGCTCACCAAAGGTGCAACTGTTTGATCAATCATTTACTCTTTTTGTAATGTTTAGAATTACCCCATTCTTTTCAGCCAAGGTTCTAATCCAGGTAAGAGATGATCTACAAGATTATGGTTGCTATCAAGTTATAATTGAGCATTGTCGACCCGACTCAATAATTTTTGTAATTTTGTAGAGTTTTGTTCCAACTTCTTAAACACAAAACTCCAATGTATCTTAAATAAACAACTGTTGAAACGTAAGCTCAAAAAATCTTATAGGAATTCTCAAATTTAGTATATACACCAGCTCACATCCAAAATGGCTTCCTCAAACGGCGTTGTTAAAACAAGCAGCTGCATTAGGCAGGCTTCCTTATAGTAGTGAAAACTGTACGACTCTGCTCTGATTTGTGGATAATACGACGGAAAAATGAAGTGAAAGCTGAAGTTGTTGTTTACCTCCATTGAACATAGCCCCAAAGGAGCAATTGATTCATTTAGGAATCTTGCGCTATAATTGCATTCCTTATGCCACATATGTGGGAAACCTGGTGTTTCTGCTGCATTCAGCAGACGCATCAAAGCTAAAAAATAGCAAAATTTAATGCAGGCAGGTGGTGACTGATTAAAGGAGGCGAAAAAAAATGCTTACTCAAATTCCAAGCGGCGTCTTCTACCTTAATCAAGTTGTAGTCAATCTTTGCCGACTTAAAAAGCTCATTCTCTGTGGACAGCGAGCTTAGACATCTGCAGCCGATGAAAAGCGTGGTTATCAACAGGCAAATGGTAGCAGTTGACCATTGCAGAAAATTTGTTTCATAAAAGCGGTACGTCAACGAAGCCAAGAAAATGGAAGTGATTACACCCACGGGCGAACCTAAGTCATGAAAAGATGAAAGGTGCGTCAAAGCTACTATCATGGAGCACTATCTTTATTAATACAAATGCAAAAAATAGACACCTTTTTTCACTGAAATCGTCACTTGCGCTGACAAAAATGTGTCTGCATGTTGTTTAGTGCTTCAGCTGTTAGGTTATCGTAACAAAATCTTTTTTCAATTCAAATGACAAGAAACTAGAGCCGAAAGACTTTGCATGATAAACATTGAAATGCATGAACACTGGGTATTTTCTATTTCGACTAACTAAGTGGATTATCAGGATACCAGCACTTCATAACAACGAAAACTGGCCAGTGTATCAGATAGAGCGCATAGGATATCGCTCCAACGTATACCACCTCCTTTTTAGTGAGCACGGCTGTCTTAACAAAAAACATGCTTCAGAAGTTTTAGAGCAAATCGGATCCAACCTGGTGACGTTTGCCTAGCCTGATCAGAATCGCTGTCATAATCGTTGTCTCTACGCGAAGAAATCGCTTCGGTAACGGAGTCCATAGAAATGGTACCATTATGGCGAGGACGAATACAAACCAAGGCAAGACGACAGTACAGTCCATTTTCCCTAGATCTTCTTTACAAGTCAAAACAAATCGAAATTTTCCCACCTTTCCTTTGCAGGCTGTCGTTACTCTCGATTACTTGATACGTCTTGGTTGCTTGGGACGTCTATAACATTCTGCTTTTAGTAGATGTAAAGTTTTTTTTATCGCAAAACCTGACTATGTTGATACTTACGTTCTAATATTGTATCACTTTTTTCAGTAGCACAATTTTCCTGCACTTGCAAACATATGGGTCGATAGTTTATTCCACCTAGTGGCATCATAGGTGCCACTAGGTGGAACACATCGCAAACTTTAGCGTTAGCTCACGGACTTGTCATACTTGCTTTTATTAGTTTCATGTTATTTTAATTCGTAGCCCCTATTTCCACTAGAATTGTGACGACGAAGTCTGCCGCCAGATATTGACATCGCTCCTTGAATCTGCATACATTGACCTCGAGCGCGGTCGCTCGCTAAACGCGTGCACTACTGGTTTCAGAAGAACAAGGTTAGGAAAGCACAGACAAGCGGCCCCCTTAGAGGGAACGATCATTACTGTGTGTGATAGACTTTGACACGGAAAACAGCTGATTAACATGGACAAATGACAAGTGAAATCGTTAAATCGATGCAAAAGAAATGATAGAAGAAAAAAAGATGATGCTCACTAATGTTTCGCGATGAATCAATCTACCTTTCATACAAATCATAGATTTCAAGCAAGAAAAAACCGAATGACAAAAAAGTCATATTTAAGAGAAAATAGGAATGTTGGTAACGTTAGATGAAACGTATTTGAATTGCGGAATTTGCCGTGATATCCAAGCTTACAAACGACATCAGCAAGGTGCCAGCATTTGGACGTGGTAGGGGGCATATTTCAAGATGCTGGCACATTTTCCTCTTAAAGGACTACATCATTTCTCGTGTTCTAACCTGCCAGCAGCTCTCACCTCACAATTTTCGACGATTTGCCGGCAAGTTCCTGGCGGGTTACTCGCAAAAGTTACCAACAACCTCTTGCGCCTCTCATTTTTTGTAGCAGATTACTGAGATCTAAAATTTCGATACAGGTTTATTTCAAGTCGATATAATTTCTTAATGTCACCCTGGCATCTTCACCCAGAAAATTTCTTGCAAAATTTAGGCGACTTTGTGTGGAATCTTATCACCGACATCAGATGAAGTACGAGCAACCTGCTAACGGGACCTTTCGCCGCAAATCCTAGGCTCGTATGCACACATACCCCTGCAGCGAAGAGCTCGGCGCGCCCCGTCATAAGGAAGCCGCGTGAGGACAACGCTAGAAGTTTTCCAGCATCGGGGACGCCGCTGTCCTCGCCGGAAAGATGTCAGTGCGTACGGTCCTTGATGCCGCATGCATTAACATCTCGATGAAGAAAGGATTACAGCTTAAAATGACTTCATATTCTAAAGCTCCAGATGTCTTGATTTTACATAATTGCCAGTATTCATTCTCCCTTTCACCATGAACATACTGGATAGATGAGAATAGTTGTGAGCCGCATTTTCCGGCTTTTTATATGATTCCCTGGTGGTCCTCGGCTGCAGACAGTCTTTTCTTCGAAGTCATTTTTTTTCAAATCTAACACGCTTCGGACCGGTGCTGCACATGGTGCAGCTCGTTGCTTTGAAGGAGCTTTCTGACGCTTACAGGAGGATAGGATTTTTTAGTTTGATGTTATCAAGTCAAAGGCCTAAGCTCTTACTTTTCAGATGACTCTGTGGACCTGCGCCGATGTTTGTTTAGGAGATATAAGGACAATCTGAGCAACAGTTGCAACAAAGTGCGGCAACTCGGACTTAGAAATTCAGTTTTTGCATGGGACGTCGTAACTTTTCTCTGCTTCATTTCCAAAAAAAAACTGTGGTTTCAATAATGATGTGTACCATGTGCAACATGAACACACTTGGATACTTTTAGAAATTCAGTTTTTGTCATTATCTTTTAAGAAAACACAAAAGTCGTTCTCAAGCGATAAGATTCAAACACTTCGAATTCATTCAAAACTTTGAGCATGAAGCTTATTTGACGTGCTGATTACAGACGTAGCACGCAGTCTACATCTAGAAATAAGGTTCCTTTGTTAGTTGACGGCCGAAAGTACACTCTGTTTCGCCGCAGCGATTTCGAGTTTTTGAAAAAGCGGGTTTTTTCATGAACCAATTTTCGACCTGTGGTTCATGCATATTTAATGACTTCAATATATCATGTTCTCAGCAATAAATTCAGCGATGTTGGGTAAGATAATCTGTACAACTCCGACAGCTTCATCAATTTCGAACGAAAAAGAAGACTTCGAAGAAAAGGAGGTTGACCGCAGGGGATCATCAGAGGATCACACAAAGTGGAAAATGCGGCATGTACAGCCTCTCGCTCCTATTCGTTATGTTTGTAGTAAAGGACAGTAAAATACTTGCGGACAGGTAGGCAGCGTGATATCCAGATGTCTTAAGCTTAGAATATGTTTTCTTCTAAGCTGCAATCTCCTTCCCCGCATGGATGTTAGCGCACGCGATGTTTGCGGCTTAGTCTTCAAAAATGTTCTCAAATCTCGTATGCACGTATCCGCTTGAATGGGATTTGAGAAGAGACGCGTCTTATTCTGCTATTGTAAATATTTCATCATTATTGTTGTATCTTGCGAAGGTTTTCATACCCTAATATCTAAGCATAATGATGACGGAACATTACCATACAAGCTAAGATTTTCATTGTACATTGTGATTCCCTGCGGATCTTCATGGGTGATTCCCTGAAGTTCCTCAAATAATCACATTATGCATTGAAGATCTTAACTTGTACGGCATGCTCAAATATTAGGGTATGAAAACCGTACTGAGGAGCTATTATGGTTCTGCTAGGCATGTTTGTAGTAAAAATATGTGAATTCTCGGATTCTTCGATAAATTACTGTGTGCGAGCTAAGGTTCATCAAAACACTTACAACTTGCAAAATCCATTCGTCCTGTAGAAAACATTCTTAGTGATGTCATGGCATATCCACAGTAAAACTTTACGAGATCAGCTAGGGATTCCCAGGAGATCGCACGAAACAGTGAAAATTTGAACTTGTACGCAATGTTGTCATTCAGTTACTGTTTCCGGGTATGAGAATCTTCATTTAGACACAAAAAGAAATTACAAATTAAAAAGTAGCGGATGTGACGCCTTCCTTTCAGATCCTCGTTACTCTCCGGAGGGAATTAACGTGCACACAAACCGCATCTTCCAGTTTTTTGTACGCATTCTTGATAGTCATCGGCGCCCGCCGGTCTTTTCTTCAAAGTCACTTTTCTTTCTTCGAAGCTAACGAAAACATTCCGAATTTGTACTATTCATCTCACCTGACAGTGCTGACGAGCCAGACGCTAAACTCCTTGAGGAGTATAGCACCTTTTCAATCGATACGCGTCAAATATAATAAGTTCCAGCTCAGTTTAGGCGGAAAAATTGAACTGGCGGTAGTCCGCTTTGCAACGATTCGCGCCTTTGCAATTTGCGTCTCTTCATTCTGATCTATCTTGCTGGGCCACTGGGGTACGTACGCGCTGCTGCACCTGGAATGTTCCGCCTACTCCTGGTTGAAAAAGACTGTACGATTTTTGTCGCCGATATTAGCGATCGCCAGTCGATCGCTAATATCGGCGATCGACCGCCACATTTGGCGACCACTCATTGGATACGTGTCGGCTGGACTAGTAAAACAAGCCGGCAATCGACAGCTATCGTTGCCTCCCCACTGTACATTGGACGGAGTATTTCCAAACGTTTGAACGCGTTGGTGACTTGCTAGGCCTCTACTGCAAAACATGATTTTTTGTACTCTAAACTTGCAGTGAACGTTTACAAGTTTATCAAGGGCAGTATTTATCAATCTCCCACTCGCTGTGCGGGCATTGTTAACGAGAGCCCTTACAGGCAAGAGAGTCCTTCCCGCGATTCAATGAAAGTCTGGGAAGCGCGGTTCAAACGGGCAGCGCCGCCCGACTCGCTGAGATAAGGAACTGCTGCCCGACTGCCGTGCCCGACATGGCCAAACTTGCCAGATCGGACCATATCCTTCAACAGCATAGTTGCGATAGGGGGAGTGATGGATCTTACCCCCTTCACTTTGAGGCCAAACTCCCGATGACCCCTTTCACCTGGGCTGAGATTGGTATTGCACTCTGAGAATATGATAAAAATCGTTATTAAAAGGTTTTGCAGGCTAAGCACCTCAAACAACAAGTACACTCATAAATTTACTGAAGAAATGGTATTTTTGTTTTTTATATTATTTATTTATCCTCGTGGCATTTTGGAGAGCAGAAAGTGAGGACACAAAACCACTTAATTTTTGAAGCACATAAAATCTCTTATATCTCGCGGCAGAGAAGACCTAGAAAAAATTCGATGGTCTATGTCGATTTACCATGATCTCAGCTTTCGAATGGTATACAGCATGTTAGCGCTTCTTTGCTTCCCTGCTCTATAAATCATTTGCTCCGGTAACCGATAAAAGCCAATACATTGTAAGAACGAGGTGGAGCAAGCTAATAGTATTAGGTTGGAAACTAAGTTTTGCAACTGGTCTCATAATTTCTCTCTCACTTAACATGGCGCACTCAAATTTTGCCACTGCTTTGGCTATTACGTAAGCTACAAGTGCAGCTGCTGTCGTGCCAAATTCTGACGTCGCAGTCAGGTTACGGTAGGTGCACGGTATGAAGGGGAAAAATTCAAAGGTTGACGGATTTGGCTGAAACTTGGCATAGGGGTGTTATCCGACATGCTGATCACGAAAACGATAGTGAAAACGCGTGATAAGGGCTTTTTTGTAGGATTACTGTAGGTGTACGATGTGGGGTCCCACCTTAAACAAGAAAAAAGGCGTTGATTCAACAAATGAATGTGATGTTCGCATTTGGCAGGTCAAATAACCTTACTATGCGAAGTCTCGGCGGAATTTGAGCTTCGGACTCTTTAGTCATTGACGGTCGTCCCCAGCAGCTATTGCGTACATCGACTCGTTCAACTTTATGAGGACTTTTGTTTCTTTCTTACTAGGCCAAAGGAGTCAACCTCCAGCAATAATTTTTAGACGAATACGGATTACT